TAATTCATGTGGCCTTATCTATCTTGAAATCAATATGTGATGTCATATTATATTAGACCCTAACATACTCTTTAACATATGCGAATTTGAGAGTATTTGAAGATGTTTTAAAATCTAGAGATAATTAATTAATTTGATTAATTAATTTTTTCCAAATTAATTAATTTTTTCCAAGTTCACTATTCACTTTATTGGAATTTCGACTTGATATTATTGATGTGCACGCTATATACTTTCACATATATTAAATCGGGAATATTTGATTAGGTTTTGAAACTTTTCATTTATTATTTTTCTTGTATTAAAGTTTAATTATCATGGTTGTAGTTTGCATGGAAATCACTTGCATTAGGCTATTAAATCAAGTCTTGGTATGTTTTATAACATACTTTAATTTGAGAACATTTGGGTGAGTTTAAAAATCTAGAGATTTTAATTAAAAGAATTAATTAAAATCTATTTAATTGATCCATTGGTTTGATTAAGTTTTTCACTTGATATTTGTAATGACTAGGACTTGTTTACTAGCATATTTTAATTTGAGACCATTTGAAGTTGCTTTAGAATCTTGGGATTTAAATTAGCATGATTTAATTAAATTCTACTTTATTGTTCCTATAATCTAATTAAGTTTTTAAATAGATATAGGTGATGACCATGCTATGTCCTTTAACATGTATTGATTTGAGGTTATTTGGAATTGATTTGGAATCTAGAGAATTTAATTATTTTTATTTAATTAAATTCTATCTTATTGCTCCATGGATTTAATTGTGTTTTGGAAGTTGTTTTTATGTTTAAATCATGGACTTGGACTTGTTGTACATTTACTTGGTTACATTTTGAGCATTGGATAACATTGTTGTTATATTTAATTCATGAGTTTACGTTTTCAATATTGAGTAACATTGTTATAACGTGTAACGAATCGCACACTGAAGATTCAACATTTGTCATGCCATAGTAGTTGTGGACTTAGAGCATGTATTGTATGTGTTTCCAAATTTGGTTGTGCATGGTAGATAGTTGATTATCTTGTATATACATGTTGATATATACGTTGTTGCACAACTTGTTGATTTTAGAAACTTGGGGATGTCGTTATTTGACTACGGCTAAGACATGGTTCTAGTACGAGGGATTGTCCCCCTATAGTCTAGTGCTCACATAAGGAGGCTACCTGTGGGCTAATAACCCTAAAGTAACTATGGTGTCGGTCTGATCCAGCGTGATGCCCGAGTATCCACCTTGTTTGATTTCGCATTTCATTTCAAGTTGATAACTAGATGATATCGTAACTTGTTGTTCCGTATTTGATTTCCCATTTTGAGTTTCAAAATGTTGACTTTGAGAAATCATGCTTTATGTGTTGTATTGGAAGTTCCAATGTTGGTTAAATTGTATTGATATCGTGATTTGTGTTTTATTGTTCTAATGTAGCTTAGGAATGATCCTATAGATTCATTTGGAACATAGATGTTTGGTAGTATGAACCAGTTTAGTTAATTTCATATTTCAGATTTCAAGTTGATAACTTTGAGAATTTATGTCTTGTTGTGTTGTATAGTATGCTTCTGTATCGTTTAATTGCATAAACATTGTAGTTTATGCTAGAAATGCTCTAAGGTAGCTTAGGATGCTCCCTGAGTCTCACTTTGACATAGACGTTAGATGGCATGAACCCTCTTGAATTGTTTCACCTTAAGGTGATAAATTTGTAAAACGTTAGGTCTATGCATGCTCATCTCCTACGAGTAACTTTATGTTACTCACCCCAAAGTTACCGGGGCATTTTTCAAGTACGAAGACTTGATTCGTGATACTTATCATTCCTTGGATGACTTGTAGTTTTTAAGTTTACATTTCATGCAAATGTTAGCATGAAATGTCATTTTGTAGCCTTATATGTCAAAACTTGTATCCTTGATTTCATGTATGTAATGTGTACATAAGTACACCTTTTGTAATGTATTTGACATGTATAAGATGAGGCCGGAGGTCAATGACATATATCTTGTATCCTATATAACTTTTAACTTCATGAAATATTATGAAAATATTGAAAAATCACAAGTCATTATCTCACCATGGTTGCATCGGGTGTGGGAATTCCATTTTTATTCTTTCATAGAGTCTCATTAATCTTATATGAAGTGTGACCAGGGGCCAAACGGTAATTTGACTCCATTTCATATTTTTGGATTTCAAAATTCTGATTCTAAGTTTATTTTTATCATTTTTGGCCGTCGGGGAGTCGGATTTTGAGTCGATGCTTCTCGGGAGCCGCGGACCATTCGCGCGTGCTTAGAATCATTTATTACACTTATGTGCACATTTGTTTCAACCTAGAAATGCATTTAGGGTCAAATGCATACTTGGTGCAAAGTTGCATTTTTTTGAGTTTTAAGTCTTGACTGATGAAGGGGCATTTTGGCCATTTCACAGTGTGTTTTTTTCATTTTCTCCCATGCAGCCAGGTAGAAAATTTGATTTCGGGAGGGATTTCTTCTTCGTGTTTTTGCAGAAAAATTTGTTTGATAGCCCGTTTTTGATCTCAGATGTGGACAGTTACTATAGCATCTTTTTGGGCCCTCTTGACTTCTTTTGATCTAGGGGCATTTTGGGGATTTCGTAGTGTGTTTTTTTTCTTTTCTTTTTGTGTTGTCGAGTAGAAAACTTGATTTTAGGGAGGGTTTCTTCTTCGTGTTTTTCCAGAAAAATTCGTTTCAGACCTCGTTTCGGCTCTCAATTCTGGCTAGATCCTTTTTTTTTTTTTTAAGCATGCCATGGTGCTTGTCAGGATGCTCGTGGGGTGCTCGTCGTGCCCCGTCTCGACATCGTGACGTTGATTTTGTTTTCGCTCGTTCTTCTTCGTCCAGATTCCAAATCGAGTGAACTTTTTTTTGAACTTGACTAATTTTTCGTTGTCTTTCTAATGATTTACTCGGTTGTACCCAGATCTTCCTGAATATTTAGCAGTTTACCTACCCAGATCTTCCTAAATATTTACTAGTTTACCCTTTTAGCCTTAAGTGCTCATTTTTCTTCGTCATGCCGTTTCTCCTTCGTCCGAACTCCGAATCATGCGATTCTTAAATCCATCTTAATTAGTTTTTTTATTGTCTTTCCAACGATGTACTCAGTGGCACCCGAATCCATATTTTCATAAATGACTATTTTGCCCTTAGGGCTATTTTTGTCTCTTCTTTTTTTGCTTTCCGCTTCCGCTAATTTCTTTTGAGTCCCGTGAGTTCATGGGAAGTCACGGATGTGTTTTGGGAATGATATACACTCTAGGGACGTCATTTTCATATAAAATGACTATTTTGCCCCTGGAGGCTTAATTGTTATTTTTCTGATCATTTGCTTCCGCGTCAATTCTCATTGAGTTCCATGACCTCATGGAAGGTCATCAAAGTGTCTTAGAGGTGTGTTGTGCCTTGGGAGACCGTTGTCTTGTTTTTTGTTTCCGTATCTGGATTCGCTATTCGATCTACGTTCGGTTCATCACAAGACGCGCTCGCCTAAAAATCAGGGCCGTCACAAATACTCAATCAAACAATAATTACTAGAAAAATAGTATAAGTTTCAATCCAAACAAATTACTAAATAATCTCTAATCTACAAAAGAATAAATTATAAAATACAAGTTTAGATAGTTATTTTGGAATTTAAATAGAAATTTATTTCTGAAACGTATAGTTAAATGGGTATAAACGGGTTGAACCCCTCAATTCAGACACGACACAATTAACTAAATGGGTTAATCATGTTGACCCGTTTATGACTCGAACCCATTTAAAGTTAATCCAAACTTACTTTACTCGTATGGTATTCAAGTCATGTTAAACTGTTCCACCCCTAATAATTCCCAACAAACATGTCTTCTGCCATATATTCATTTCTTTCTCCTTTCCAATAATGCATGTCATTAATGTGTTTATCATGCTGCCAATCAGAACAACAAATAATATTATTTGATGATAAAACGCAAATGAGATTGGAATCCAATAAAAGGTTAAGAATAAATTGAAAACTTATAGTAAGAGATTTAATCCACATGTAATTGCCTTTTATAGTTATGACTTTATAAGAAATGGAAGAAACTAATTAGTTCAACCCTTTTAATAATATTGTCAAATTACTAAGGCCTTGCTTGTTTCTCACTACTATGGTTATAGAGAGAGATGGCTATTAAACTAATTGTAGATGGATCTATTTACATCTTTAAAAGTAGACAAAGGTTAGTTTTATCTAATAAAATAATTTGTAAAGGTTAAAAAAATAACTTTGTGATTCAAATAGATCAGCTAGCAAGTCAAAGAGTAATAATGACAATTCATAATGTGTTGGGTGACATTAAAGTGTCTTTGTTAACTTTTCCAACTTAAAATGGTGTCATTAAAAAATGGATAAACTTGTATATGTGTTTCAATGGGCGGAGTGTAAATGTAATATACTCCAAAAAGTAATACAAGGAAGGCTTTTAATAACAGCAAGTGACACCAAGACCTACCCTTACGGTCACCTTGTAATTCCAAAGCAAAGGAAAAAAGGACATTTTTCCTTTGACCTTTCTTGTAACTTTCTTTTTATTTATTTATTTATTTGTTTTGTTTAATGTTTTTGTATTTCAAAATATATATATATTTAGCTGAAGTTTTTCAAAAAATTCTACTGGTCTTGTCAACGATTTATCTAATATCTAATGACATCTTTATTGTTTTAAACACACATATGCATATATAAACTTTACGAATGACCAAGATTTTGGGACAATATGAAAATGAGGAGTTCATATATTTTTTTTGCATGATTCATGCATAATAAATCAATGAAATATATTTAAAAAAGATTGATCATTTAGTGAAATGAATGGACTAATATCATAATTAAAGGAAAACCCATGCGATATATGGGAATTGAAACCATACATCTTGAAACAAAAACAAAACATAAATCATATAAATATATATAATAATTTAAAACAAAATCAGTAATCAAAGCTTGAGATTCAAATCAAGTCCTGATGATTCGGAATGTTCACAGTCCGATTTGTCTACTTTTGCAGTACTAGTGTCACCTTCAATTGCCTTATTGGCAGCATCATTATTCAAACAAGCCAATAACGCTGAAGAAGAACCACTCCCTCTAAACAAATTAGAAGACCCTCCAACTCCCAACCCACCAATATTAATATTATTTGACTGGGTACTAGTAGTGTCACCTATGATCCTTGGCCTATCATAGTATGGCTGTGGATTCATCAATGCCGACCTAGACCACGCGTCGTGGCCGAAACGAGACCACGGTTTGTGAATCATGGAGTCCGGTCTGACCCCGAGCAGCGATGATGATGATCTACTATTAATTGAGCCATAAAAGGGGACATGGTGAGGGAAACTTGAATAGGGATAGTAGTGATAGGGCTGGGGTGGGTGTCCGAAAGGCGTGACATCCATCCCGTGCCTCCTTTTCGCGAAGGCCCGCTCTTGTTTGTGCGCGTTTTGGTGTCCTCCCAGTGCTTGAGAAGTAGAGAACTCTCTTTTGCAGAAGTTGCATGAGAAAACCCTAGATGATGTCTCCGGCCGCGGCTGCTTCTCGTCCCGTCTCGCCTCGCTCGACGACTCGCTTGCCTGAGAAGAAGAGCCACCCACGTTTGATGGCTTCAAAAGATTGACTTCCTGGTGCTTTGACACTACTTGACAGCTCGTATCATTTGACAGTTTCAGATCGAGTAGGAGGCAAAGTGGCTTTGGTTCGGATTCTTCCGATACTTTTTCTTTCAGTTTCATATTCTTCTTGTTGCAGTTTCCATCATATCCTTCTGAAATGCTTGAGGCATCTGAAGGACATTGATCTTCTAGGCTTGGTGCTGACATTGCAATGATCACAATGACCTTTTAGGGTTAACTTTTTGAATGGTGAGATGGAGATGGTATGTTGTTTAATTATATAGAGAGAGAGTTAATGCTCAATCGCTTATATATGGTAATATATCTTCCTTGTATAATCATTACATGGCGTTATATAAGCACATTAGTAATAAGTAATAAGATGGGGAATTAAGCTTTTTGTGATTTTGTGTGTCTTGCTGAAGTTTGCATGCAATAATTCCAAAAATATACTTGAACTACCATCTTTGTATCTCTTGTTAAAGTCACAATCAGTTCACCTCTTTTTCGTGCAGTTTACTTTTTATCCTGACACGTGGATTTGAAGAAATTGCAAGAATTGTTTTCGCAAAGAAATCGACCCCAATGTTATGCTTGGTTCCAGGAAAGAAAATTTTTTTTTCCCTTGTTCGAGGAAAGAATTGAGGATGGAAATATATATATATTTTTTTGAAGGCTAAATAAATATTCACACACTCACTCCTTTACCGAGACTCCAACCCACCAAACTCCCATTTGGAGAAGTGAGTTTGTACCTACAATGACTTATCCCAGCCAAATGCATTTTATTTTTTATTTTTTATTTTTATTATTATTTTTCCATATAAAAAGTTGAGGAAATGCATTTTTCATGGGCTAAGGTTGAAGTGGCACATCTCTCTATGTGTATATACGGTTTTTCTAATCAAATTCTACTTGATTCGAACCAGAAAAATTCATTATGGACTCTACATGTGCATATATTGGGTGTACTGGGTGTACAGTGCACTGATTCATTCAAGTTATATGTATACAATACGTACTCATGTGTAACAATACTGCTCAAATTAGCCCGATATGCTGGGTACATCCAAAACCTTTTCAAATTGTGAGCCACACCATGGGGTTTGCTTATACATGGCTCAGTCAAAATTGGTTTGGATAGACTTTTTCTATAAAAATATATATTGGTTTATACAATTAATACTTGTCAAATATGCTGACCCAGATAAGGACTCACAATATATATCACATTTGATACAAAATTAATTAACAGTATCAAAACTAGTATGATTAATCGTTCAATTTCACAGCATCGTAATGAAAGGCATGTTTAAAGTATTAGAAGAGCAAAGCATGTGAAGGGTTTGTTTTGATTGGCAATATAAAAGGAATAATAATAAGGTCAAACGTAGCAGATGAATATTGATTAACATTTATTTAATACCTTTTTTAAAATAATAAAACGGAAAATTCAAAAAAATGCATAGGCAAACATTAATTGTATCCGATATGGGAAAATTTCATTAAAAGAATATATATCATGCATGTGGGGTTATATACTGTATACATGTTTAATTCAGTTATAAACTTATATATATCTCTCCCAAGTAAATGTAACCATGAAAAGTATTTACTTTTTATTTATGAAAACTTTTTAACTTTTTGAAATTTAAAAAGCAACATGTCTAAAAGTAGCTATCCATGCTTAGATGGAACTTATATACTATAATATATATTATGCTTGTGATATATATATATATGTTTAATTCAGTTATATCTCTTCCAAGTAGATATAACCGTGACAAGTATTTACTTTTTTATTTATGGAAAAAATTTAACTTTTGAAATTTAAAAAGCAACATGCAAGACTACAAGCAACTAATCATGCTTAGAAGGCCTTAAATATCACAACTTGTATCACGCGTTGCTCTTAATTTTGAGGAACCTTCAAATGATACGCGTAATTGTTGGAGTTTGATAAAATTGAAAATTTAGTATGAAAATTTAAAGAGCAAAATTTTAAGTGGTGAAATTTTTTATTGGTAATTAAAAAATAAATATAATTTTTTTTTAAATGTTAGCATTCAACATTGATAAGTAATATCATGGTCACTTAAAATTTTATTTCATTTTAAGTAATGTTTACCATTTTCAGTCATATTCACTTTAATTGAATAAATGTTTAATCAGTTCAAAAGCAACCATTTAATGAGCTCATTTGTTTTATCTAGTTTTGCTTGAATTTCTTCTTCATTTGTTTTATCTAGTTTTGCTTGAATTTCTTCTTATGTTACTTAACATCTTGGGTTATCAGACTATATGAAAATGTTAAAAGAGACTGCTTTTTTAAGTTATAGAATTTTAAGTAATAATTTTTAAAATTTTAAGTGTTCATATTTAATGATATGTGAATCACTATCATAGCTTATTTTTTGTGTCACAATCAAAATACGTTATTATACGCATTTAATTTAATAAAAACTTAATCCATTTATAATTAAATATTAAATCAAGTAATCAAATATCTTTTTCTTACCTACTTGAGAGGTTTGTTGCACTTGAGAGCGCACTTCTAAGTTGTATTATAAATCTTTCATATTCTTCTTCCCTATTTAAAATTGAAAAACTCAACTTAACGAAAAACAGAGAAACAAAATGTTGCACATTTTGCTCAACATTTTGCTCTAATATCAATTTATCAAAGCATATTTTATATCATTTAAGATAACTCAGAGAAGCAGCAGGTTAGGACCCATATTTTAACCAACTGTAACTAGTTGGTAGTAAAGTTACACGTTATCTTTTATTATTTATTTTGTTTAGTTAACTCGGGTATATGAGTTTCGCTCCGACTAATCCCGATGATTCAGGAAGGGTGCCTCCTAAAATTACACATTATCAATATTAAGTAATTATATGATTTAACTTTCAAATTTAAATTTAAACTAATCCCGAGGACTCAAGAAGGGCACCTCCCAAAATTACACATTATCAATATTAAGTAATTATATGATTTACCTTCCAAATTTGAATTTAAAGGCTAATCATGCAACATTATGTTTGACGGTCATTTTTCGTGGGCATGCCAGATCGGTTTGCAAACTCAAAGAAGCCGATGGACTTATTATTATTCCTCACTTGATTTCAAGTGGTTCGCGGGCCGGACCTGCCAACTAATTAAGTGCTTGTAGGTCAAGCCCGCGAACCCCCTTTGTACTAAGTGGTTCAAGGGTTTGACCTGCGAATCAAGTGTTTGAAGGTCAATCTCATGACCCTCTAGTTCTACATGGTTTGTGGGTCCAACCCACAAATTAGTAAATCGGTTCCCGGGTTGGACCCGTGAACTTATTCAAAATGAGCTATTCATATTCCAAAAGCTAAAAACAAAAAAAAACAGAAATTAGCAAACCTAGAGCATAGGAAACCTCTCCAATTGCTCTCATAAGCCTTCAACAGCTTCCAAGCATTCAAAAAGAGCAAAAATTTTACTCTCAAGTCTATAACAATTAAGAGACAAATTGTTATTCAAAGGTAAAGGGAAAGATTATGGCATGATGAAGGGAGTATATTCTAATCCTACTTTTGCATCTATCTACTTCTACTCCTTTCTTTGTAAAGTCTTATATTACTATGTCCATGAGCCTTGTCATTACTCTAACAAATAGCTCAAACGAAGCTGTTATCTTCCGTATCGAAGTTATAAGAGTAGAGATGAGTACCTTTAGCCTACCCTTAACCCACTCAGTGAAGGATCACCTCTAGTCCCACAGCACTCAATTTTCTCTTTTTTGGAATAAGTTGCTGAGAAAGTATCACATCAATTAAAAATATTTGGTAACTAATTTTTCACCATCCCTCTTTAAGTTGTATTCCATATATATAAAAGCTTTAAATATTATATTCCTTTTATATAAAAACTTTAAATATTATTTCCAAAATATGTCGTCTTCATTTCTCTCTCTAAAAGCTTCATCAGCTTTCATTAATGGACTCTCCAAAGACTCACAGCAACTTCTGAACTTCAAATCTTTACTTCAAAACCCAAACACACTCCAAAACTGGCTTCCCAACAACTATCCCTGTAATTTCACTGGAGTATTATGCAGAAACTCCAGAGTATCATCCATAGATCTAAGCTTTGCTCATCTAAATCTCAAATCGGAGTCTATTCCTTCTTATCTGATTATTGTAATGACCCGGTCATTTTATCCTTTTTCGGCTATTTTCTTTTTCGTGAAATTATTATTATTATTATTATTATTATTTATTCTTTTTATTTGTCGTTTCCCTTCGCATAAACTCACTTTTTGTGCTCGGATTTGGTTCCAGCTTTGCGTGCATCCATGATATTTAATTTCAATGATATGTGTATTTTTTCTTTTGTAGAAAAGCATACTAGTTGCTTACTTTTTTGTAAAGGGCATGAATACATAGTTTCATCAGAAACATTCTTGATTTTGGGGTTTTAGTGTAATTAAATAAAGTAATTATTTTTCGTTTTAGGGACCATTTTGTAATTAAATTTGGAAGATATTTTGAAAAAGGACCTTTTTGTAATTTTTGAAAAATGTGACAAATGTCACTCTCATTAGTCCACTTGTAGGCATCTCATTGGTTCACACTTGGGAGCCTTGGATGATGACATGTGGAGGGTGGGGATTCACCTACTTGTTGACTTAGGATAGGTGCACTTGTTGGCTTGGATGGTTGACAAGTGTAAGCTTAAGATTAAGCCTAGGATGGATGCTTAGGATTGTGACAAGTGTAAGCTCCAAATTATGTCTTACATTTTGTGTATGAGAGATGTAGTGTATGATTGTGACAAGTGTAGGTTCTAATGGCCTAGCGGTACCAAGTCCCTATTTCTCAAAAAGAGGTCAAGGGTTCAAGCCTCAGTGGAAGCATGTGTGTGTGAGTACCAAATAGGAAAAAAAAAAAGTGTATGTGTGTGTGTGTGTTTGACCAACCACTTTTAGTTAGTGGAGAAATACACTTTTCTCTACTAACTTTGCTTCTTCCTCACAAAAATCCTTAGCCACCATTGAAGGAAAGCTTAACATAGGCTTAAAACATTGGTTTTGGTTCCCTTCCACTCACCTTTGACCTAAAAGTTTGGAATACAAAAGGTTCCCCTCACATTCCTCTACAAAACCCTTGAAAGATTCTCTAGAATTCCTTCCTTTAGATTCAAGAGGAATAATCCTCTTGTGAGGTAGGGAGTGATA